CCTGCTGAGTTTTAAGAATTTTACTGGCAAACCAAGTATGAAAGCTTCTTAAAGATATAGGAAAGTGTTTGCCTCGTTGCACATCTCTTAAAGCGTGGCTTAATGATCATCTAAGCCTAAGAATCATCCTGTGGATCAGGGGTTGCTCTTTTTGTTTTGTTTTTGCTGGGTGAGTTTTCAGCCAAATCCTGGTCTGGCTCGTTACTAGCAGTGATGACAGTAGAAGGGAGGCAATGGAAGCATGCAGTCAGTGGGGAGGAAGGGAGAGGGGTGGACAGATGAGTTTTGGGGTTTAAGAAAGTTTTGGGATTTGAGAGTGTGCAACCGCACTCAAAGTGTAGGAGTTTATACCAGGTTTCTCTGAAATACAACGTACAAAAGAAATCTATTTGTGGCTGACATGTTTGCGAGTTAAGAAACAAAGACCAGATGTTATTGACATAAAAGAATGTAATTTACGATGTCGTTAGGAAGATGAAGCAATATGAACAGTTTATTTTGTTTTTTACTTTCAGAGGTATTGTTGCCAGTATTTTGGTTTTCTTATGTTTTGGAGTTACACAAGCTAAAGATGGACCGTTTTCAAGACCTCATCCAGGTAATTTTAATCACTTAAGTTTCTCAAGTATTTCTGATAAAATTGAATGGCTTATGTTGAATATAAATATTTTTGTTCCTTGTAAAGGAGGTAAGTCAGAACCTAAATAAGAATGTAAGTTTAAGAGTGTAACGTGTGTCACACAGCCTTCCAGCTTTCACCCACGTTTGAGACACCTTCTTTGTAACTGACAGCATTTTACCTACCTATGCATAAAGGAAAGGAATTTGCGTAGTGGCACTTCTCTTTCTCCTCGCTCTTCTTGGAGCAGCCTCCTAAAACTTAGCCATATTCCAAACAGTGTAACGATCATTCTGTGCTTTTATAAATCTGCTTGGAGCACAGGATTTCTTTGGATCTCCCTGTTTGGGCTTTCAGTTATTAGAGAAGTTTCATGCAAATTGCCAGGTTCTTGAAACCTTAACTTCCCCTTTCTCTGCAACCCCCCCCCACCCCACCCCACTGTTTAATGGGACTGCACTTCTGACCAAGTATCCAGTTGCTAGAACACTAAACTCCCTTTGCTGTAGGCCCACTATCCACAGTAACTGGTAGGTTAGAAGCCCTTTATTATACCTTGAAGATTTACGGTAAGACTGCAAGTCTCGAAGGAGTTTGAAATGACAACATAAACCTTCTTCCGTGTAGTGTTACATCAAGTGAAATATGAAAATATTTTAATGTCCTTATCTTTTGGCTATTTTTAGATATTGTGAATCGTTGAGAAGAATTAAGGGGACTTATATAGGCTTGCATAATATTCTTGAAAGCATTAGACTCTCTTATAGCTAAATAAAACTGAAGTTTTTCCGCATACCAAAAATTTAACCTTTTAGTTTAGGCATCCTTGCATGAGAAACTTCAGACAGGTTAAAAACCGTGATCAAAGCAGAGATTCTTCTAGAGCAAAGCACACAGCACACCTCTGCAAACTTAGATTTTATTCAAAGGTTTGCATTTCTGAGGTCTTGTTAAGTAGTAGCCTTTACTCTTTCATTCCGATTATAGCTAATTCTGGTCTCTCATATAAGGGAAATTACTTCTGTCAAGGACACCAGTGATATTTGTGTGCTTTTCTATTGTAGCTTTCAGTTTTAGAACATCAGTGGTTCTGTCTAGAGTAGAAGTGCTTTTTATTCCCAAAAGCGCATTTAGTAGCCAAGTAGTATAAACTGGGAGGGGAGAGTCCAAAGGTCAGAGACATCTGCAACCAACTGCTAGTGTAGGCTGATCCAATGTCTACCACTTCTGTATGCTATGGTCTTGGAAACACAGCAGTTCCTAGACTGGAGCCGATTATCTTTCAGCAGAATCAAATCATCGATGAACAGGGTGATTAAAGAAGCTTCTCTGTGTTCAATCACTCTTGTACAATGATTTTTACAAGTGATTCAGATTGTAGCTTAGGGAACACACACTGTTAACTTACTCAGGTCATTGTATCCTAGCCCTGTACTCACTATGTTCTGTGAAGCCAGAAGAGTGTGTGTGCTCACAGCTAAAGCTACTTTTATGCTGATGCCTGGTATTCTTTACATGAACGCTCCTTCTCAATGTAGTCAGTATTTTAAGAGTATTCTTATAGACAGACTGAGTATATTAACTTTGTCTCTTGTTGTACTTATTAATGCCATCTTTGCCTCTAGTTTATTAGAGGCTTCTGAAGAGCGTTTCTTGGGAGCTATAGCAGTTCTGGTCTAGCAGCTACTCCTACAGTCGCAGCAAGGTAGCTGGGTGCCTGTTTAAAGGAGAACGGTGGTCTTTCTCCAGACCTTTTCTGCGGGAAGGTTCTCGCAGGCGGCGGCAGAGGATGTGGCATTGCAGCCCTGTGAGACTTAGTGTCAGCTCTCCAGTTACCGAGGGCTACGGAGGGGTGTGTTAGGTAGTGCTCATGGGGAAATTGAGTCTCTGACCTTTGTTCCTTGATGCCGTTCCTAGAAAAAGATCTCATCTCAAGAGAATTAACAGCAGTCTGCTGGTGTGCGTTGCTTCCATTTATAGGGCAGAAAGAAGCTTCTGGGTCAGAGTTCGGTCACTACGGTCACATACAGCCCCATCAGATCTGTTTCACGAACTCTTCAAGCTGTATCTTAGAAGCAGTTAGGTTTCACGCGCTGCTTCTGCTGGGTGATTCCAGAGCCCCTCTCCCCTGGTTTGGAGCCCTCTTATTCAGTCTCTCTGTACCTATTTGTGACCAGTTTGGAGGTGTTTTGGGTCTTGGCTTGTTTTTTTGTGTCCATGTTGTTGTTCTATTTAAATATCTCTTTTTACTGGTTGGTGTTTGCCAGTATGTAATACTAGCAAGTATGTACCTCATTAATTTATACGCAGCTCATGTATGCCATTGGTGTTGCTGAAGCAAGCAATTGTGCTCTTTAGCCTCCCCCTCAACGTAAGCTTGCTTTCCCCCTAAAACGTTGGTAGTCCTTCTCTCTGTCTGTCTTATCTTCCTTAAAAATAAAATGGCTTAGCTTTTTTGAAAATGGCTGTCCGGACCTGTATAGGATACTGCAGATGTGTTACTGCTTATATTTTTCATGATGGCATTAATGCTTCCCCATATCTCTCTGTCAGTACCTTGATGGCTATGTCTTCATATTGCATGTGTTTTCTTTTCATGGCTGCGTTACAGTGGCAGCTCAGTGTCTGACAGATAATACCCAAACTTTCTGCTTCAGCTGAAGAACTCCCATCGTATAAGAAAGCTTATGGCTCCTAAGTGTACAGCGATAGTCTTAACTCTTCTTTTCTGCTACTTCAGTTCTTTGAGATCATCTGGTTCTCTTTGCTGTCCCTGTCTTCCTTGCCACTGCTGTTTCTGTGCTTTGTGTCATTAACCTGCTTTTCACTAAGGCCATCAGTGAAACTGATCTTAGATCTATCATGTAAGTGGTATTAATCCAGACTGTTGTTGGTTTATTTGTGTGGTTTTTTTTTTTTTTCTCCCCTTCCTTTTGGTATTAACTGCTATGTCTGCTTTAGCCAATAGCTCATCCAGCATTGCCATTTTTAATGACTTTTCACTGCTTTCTCCAGTTTAGTTAATCATGCCAGTCGTGGACCCATACTAATTGTCTTACCCAAATTCAGAAAGTTAGGATTATCATGAAAATAAGTATGTATATTTATTTAGGAAAGACTGACTTTTGACATCCTTTCCCTGCTTTTTATCCCATTTTCCATTTCCTTACTGTAAACCCACAGCTTCAAGGCCTCCCTCTGGTTCACAGAGCGTTGTCTCTTCGTGGCTCAGCAAGATGCAAACAGCATCCAAACCATCCAGCCAAGGATGCTCTTGTTCCCAAGGAACAATTTTTCACAGAGGACAAATCTTAAATTTTGCTTGAGGATCCCTTAATTGCTGGACACGCACTCGAATTTGGAGAAAATAATGCATTTCATACTGAAATTAATCCTGGATAAAGGTCATCGATGTTTTATCTCTTTAGTGTTTGCAAACAAGAGATTCTTGATTCTTATTGCCAATGACCTTTACAGAGCCTTGAACATCCAAATGATCTGGTTATTTTGTGGTGTTGCAAGTTCAGTGATGCGTTATTGCTTTTGTCGAGATAACGTGCCCGCATTGTAATTTTAATGAGATTTTCCCATGGCAGTTATTAATGCCCTAAGAAATAACTTTTAATCTTCCCAACCTTTGTCAACACTTATTTGGACTTAGTACAACTTGCAGCAGTTTGGAGAGTAAACTGTTGAGTTCTTAGGTAAACCATAGACTAGAGGGCTGAAATCGCTAGAGGTGAGCAGACAGGAACTGAATCTCTTTTGTACTTGTCGCAGCATATAATGGGTATAGCATAGACATAATGGGCTATTGATGAAACTGGATGGAGAAGCTGATTACCTTGTAATTCTGCAAAGAAGCAATCCTTTCACTGGAAGTCTATCAAGTGAATAGTTAATGATGTGCCCCTTTCTGATGACTGCTTTAACAATTCAGGAATCTTGGTGCTTATTACTTTTGTTGCATAAATTGTTTTTGACTGTTGGATTGGTGATGCTGATTAGCCTACCAAGTAGGTGAAAAAGCAGGCAAGTTGCCCTATGTGTAGGGATTTGGACAAGCTGAGCTTTTAACTGATACTTTTCTACCTTAACGTAGTCACTTAATATTTCCGGTATTACATTTAGGAACATAAAACTGGCCACTTTGAGCTAGGACTAGTCTGAAGCCTTATCTTCCCTCAGTTACTCAGTTGTCCCCACCTCCTAGTCACATTGCAACTGTCGGGTCACAGGTGGTGCTTTTGAACCTGAGCTGGCCGTGGAAACCCTTGTGCTCTCTAGCAGTAGTTCGAGCAGGCATATGCCAGCCTATGCTAGTCTAGCTGCTCGTTCTCCGTGTGCGTGTTCTCTGCAACTTCTCATCAGCGCTTCCGTGCTCCCACTCACCTAACAGCTTTAAGATAAGTGGTTATTTGGACAAGGAACTTAGTACAGGTCTCAACAGGGTTTTTCTCACTGCTTTTAGCCTTTCACGGTGCATAGGTCAAACTCGAACACCTCTTTTGATAAATAGAGGAAAGTGGCTAGTTCTGCGCTCAGCCAAGCAGCGTTCTCTTGCTAAGTGTTGGTCTTGCGTTCTCACGTCTCCCTACAATGACAGCAATTTAGCCTTTGAGCATAGCAATCACTAAACCCTTAGGTATGCAAATGATTACTTGAGGCCTCCTTAATCAGGTGGACAGCCCTACTTTGAGAGTGGTTCATGATGACGAGTACCTTTAAGGAAAACAAATAACAGAGGTATGCCAAAAATAACTCTATAGCTAAAGCTGAGGCAGGTCCAGGAAGAGAGAGAACACAATGTTTGTACAGCTTTGAAAACATCGTGTTTCTAGTGTTCATGTAGGTTGTACAGCTGTAAAGTAATCTTTAAACCTCTTGGGTGCTTATGCCTGCTGAGGAGAAAGCACACTCAATTATAACCGGGTCTTAATTTTTTTATTAAATATTTTGCTTCAGTAAGTATTGCTCAGTGTATTCAGCAGCTGCAGATCATCTGTTGATAGAACTTTAGGTATATAGGAGAAGAAAGAAGCTCAGATACTGATGTAGATTTTTCTGTTGTTTAAGCTGTACATCAGTTTCAGAATATGACACATTTATGGTTAGAAGTAGTGTGATAGTCATACATGTTTCTAGAGATCAAAAGATTGCAGCATTGTTAAGGCTGTTAATCTGAAGTTGGTGTGGAAAGGGAATAAAGCTAAATTCCTGTGGGAGAAGTGTATTAACGAAAGGCTAATTTTTTTGGCTTGAGCACAGTGTTTACTCTTCAAGGTACGCAGTCGGTATGGGAAGATGTACCAAACAACTTATCAAATGAAAGACTTTATTAAAAGTTTTTTAGTGCCACCACAATATTTCAATCCTTCGGACTCGCTTGCAGAATTCCTAAATGATTTCCAGCAGTACAATATTGCCAGTCTGGCAAGTTTCTCTTCTGAACAATGCTGTGACTGATGAGGGTTGGTAGGTTTTTTTGTTTTCTGAACTGCATTCCAGAAATACAAAAGGGTGCACGCTCTCAATCAATCCTTCCCAGTGAAGTTTGCCAGTGAATTTGAAAGTTAATCCAATCTGAAAGAGGGACAGCAGTCTTAAATAGTTGTTTCTACAACTTCTGTGCAGTAGGCAGCTGGACAGAGGCATTAAGTATTGCCTCACTGAGAAGGCAGACTGAACTCAACTTTTCCTTCCCTGGAGGAAGCCAAATCTATAGGAAAGGAGGCTTTCCTAGGTCTGCTGTTCACAGAGCAGCCTGTTTGAATTGGCAGTCTTCCTTGCTTGGGAGCTGTTCAGGCGTTCATTGGAGGAGTTTGTTTTACTTCAGGTTATCTTTCCTGCGAGCTACGCTAATCTTTGCTTATGAATGCATTGTGACAAAGTTTGGGTAGGTGATGCTTCAGCAACACCCTCAACAATGCTCTGAAAAGAATTGTCAGGCTAGTTAGGGTAACTTGGTAGACACCCTAGTGGAAATCCACCAACAGCAATGGGAAATACAGAGGGCTTTTCTGTGCAGCCTGTAACACGTTTAGAGTGTGGGTGGGTTTGTTTTTTTTTTTTTAATTGACCATCCCCTACTAAGACACTTAATTCTGTTGTGCAATTAAGAGTTGACAATTGTGTTTGTAAACTTGAGGTACAAATCTTAAAGTGCAGAAACTCCAGTAAAAGCTGTTACATGCAGAGTTCTGGACTTCCTGCTATCCAGGTCACAGCTGCTTTTTTTCTGAAAGTGTAAAGTAGGTGATTTTGATGAGATGAATCAGTTTTGCAGGAAAAGGTTACACCTTCTCACATTTGAATCTATTTTAATGATAGTGTCAGAAGCAGGCTGTTAGTTGAGAGATTCTCTCTCTCTTTCTCCATCCTATGTAAGGCTGAATTGGGCAAAGATGGTTGTTTTTTTTTTTTTTTTCTTCCTCCAAGAGAGTGAACAAGTCTCTACTAAATGCTGTGACACCATGTCTAGATGACTTCAGGTTCTGAGTTCATAACAAGCATGGTTGCAAGATGGGAGTTAATCTCTAATTCTTGCATAGTTTATGTCATGGTCCTGATTTTTTGGGCATTCACACAGCTAAATTCCCTTGCCGCTAATAGAATTAGGTGCTCAAGTTGAGCCTAAAGTTTCTTGGGTTTTTTTCATGGCCAACAATGTTCCACGGAAGTGGAATAGCTCTGGCTGTCTCTGCTCAGCCTCACGAACGACCATTTTGTTTCCTCTTTGCCCCAAACCAGTTCTAACTCTCAGCTAGCTGTAACTGTGGAGGGAACTCCTGTTTTATAAGCGTAAACAGGAAACACCTCAAAGTCTATTACAGTCGTTCCTAAGCAACTAGCAGTTGCTATTACTGAGATTTAAATGCCCATTTAGAATGAGTCAAGTTTTGCTGAATTAACACGTGTAAATTCTTGGATGTGGTTAGGAAAAAATGTTAGAGTGCTCTGTCTGTACACATACTGGCTCTGCATTAGCCTGCTTCTGCCTCTGTAAGGGTTAATGAAAACCCTGGATGAGAGTTCAGAGCACAGGACTGACTTTGCTGAATGGATGCCAAACCAGTCTCTGGGTGGAACAGGATGAAGGTGGACACGAATGCAGCACACGGACCCACAAAGCTCTTATCCAGGACAGTCAGAAGGACCTATTACCTCAGGACTGGGTCTTTCAGAGGAACTGAGGTGACAGTGATGGAGCTGGAAGTGTACACAAAGAGTTTGTGTACCTTTTAGATTCGGCTGTCGCTCGAATGTGTAAAGAGCTAAAGTCACACATCTTGGGAGGGTGAAAAATGACTGCAGACCCTGAAGCAGCTGCCTTTTTGCATGATGTTTCTCTTAAAATGAAGAGTTTCAGATGATTTCATAGGTCTTGCGTCTAAGTGCCTGCTAAGACGTTTTTCTATTAAATTCCTAGCAAAAGTGAACATATCTTAGGTATTTTTGAAATGTTTTCTGCCCACTGAGGAGAGAGGCTCACCAAAGTAAAAGTGGCAGTCCCTCCTGCTGGTCTTTGTCCTGTCTGTTTTAGCGATACATAGGCAGGAGTTGGCAGAGCGGGTTAGCCGTGATAGGACGGAGAAAACCAAAGCTGGGAAGATGAGGTGGCACGTGAGAGTGGAGAAAGACGTTAGATTAGTTCAGGAAGGGAACAGTTTTGTTCCAGACTGCCAGAAAACATTGTGAATGGCACACACCCCTCTCTCTGATTCCTCAGTACTTAGTTCTTTGGGTTGAAGCGTTCTCATGGTCCCCTATGTTGTGGGATGGGAGAGTGAGAGGAAGTGCCTGAGCACCGCTTGCAAATGTACACAGTAACCTATTTGATAATTAAGGAGCCTTTCTGGTTGTGCTCCTTCAGGAAGGACGGTGAATGAATGCTTTACTTGAGTACTGTGCTTTATAATTTCTTGTTCAGAGCATCTATTCCTGAAATATTTAGTTACATTACAGTAAATGAATAATTGATGGCTGTTTTGCTTGCAGTCTTGCTAACATCCCATTTGTCTGTTTCTGTAGCTTACTGGAGGTTTTGGCTTTGCGTCAGCGTTGTATATGAGCTCTTCCTCATCTTTATACTCTTTCAGGTAAGTAACATAAACTGACTTTTGAGTAACTAGAGGTCTCATGTGGATATAAAATCCTCTGTTCCTTAGAATTCTCACTGATTTCAGGAGATGCTCTTATTCCTTTGTTTTTTTCATATGAAATCATTGTGCTATTTAATGAGACTGGTGGGTTGAAGAAAATGTTACTAAAATATTTCACCTTGCTGTCTCTCCTAATCTCCAGTTAATCTCAATGCAGATTACGTACCAGTGAAGCTTTCTTAAATGAAGTGATAGGGAGTCAGTGCTCTTGGTTAGATCAAATGACCAGGAGTCGGTGCTTTTGGTATTTAGTCTCTGTTCCATTGGACTTTGACTCGCTAAAATTGTGCGTCAGCTGATAGTTGCTTTGAATGTTTTTCTCTGCAACAAATAGAAACCACACACACCACTTTCTGTAGTGGCAGCAAATTGAGGATGGTATTTTTCTAGAATGATATACTGTCAGTACTTTCACATAAAGCGCATTTATTTTTTACTGTATTCTTCTCCTTTTATAAACCGAGAACTTTCCACTGGCTCTTACAAATAAATGACTTCTCAGAAACCCAGCAATTGAGGTCATATATTTTGAGATAAACAAGAACAGTAAACCTGATACTATTAACATAGCCATTGTGTATCATATATGTGCCGTTAAACCACTGCAAGTAAAGTTTGGGTGCCAAGAAAGGACTCTAGATTTTGAAGGTGACTCATCTTCTCAGTTATGCTATGCAATTGTTGTAGTCTTCTCCTCAGGCGTCAAAATGACTTGAAACCAAAAGCAAACACAGAGATATTGAACAATGAGAATGGAATGTCTTGTTCTGTCAGATATTTTATTACTTTTCAGAATTAGGTTCCAGTCAGAGTCCCCAGTTGTTCCTTTTCAGATAAGTATGACCACCTCTCTGAAATCTTAGTAGCATTTGGTGCTTTGTATTTTAAAAGGCTTGCGTGAGTAATATTGCTTCCTCATCAAGTAGGAAAAAAGTCACTTTAGATTTTTTTTTTTTTTTTTTTTTGCCTCTAGAAGCCAAGTGAGCTTGCAGAAGCTGAAGCTAGAATTCAGAAGTGTCAGGATCCATCTTCTATCTTCCTTTTGCACTATATTTGCTTTGCAAACAAGCTTTCAATATTAATCAAACAGTTTCCAGCTAATCAAAGTTTTTCTGCAGTTCCAGCCTGATTTCAAATAACACTTCTTGTTCAGCTTGACTTTTTTCCTCAAGCATCCCCGAAAGTCAGTGCCAAGTCCTTTTAAGGAAACAAAACTGTCAATATTTTTATTTTGCCTGGCATGTTGCTTCAGTGGGCAGCTAGAATGTGTCCACAGTAGATCCGTAAAGATGATGATGCGTTTCTGTCCTGTTAACGTATCTTGAGGGTTCAATGCAAACCCTAGCACAGGTCCTAATGTGTCATTAGGGTTTCTTTCAGGCTGCCTGCCCTGCTTGGAGAGAGTGGAGTTCTGACCCTTTCACGGGCATGAACAGGTCTGTCTTGCCTCTGTTGTTGTTGTTCCTCGCCACTGAGGAATACTTGCTCAGTTCCAAACTTATTCTTACGTTCTTGCTGTTTCATGTCACCCTCTTTTTTTCCAGGCATCATTGTAAATGATACTCCTGAGGAGCTGCAGTCAAAATGAATAATATATTTCATTTTGATTTCGTAGTACTGTTGTAGTTCTGAATTCTCATTGAAAAGCCTGGGATTGCTTTGCTTTCCTCTGGCAGTATGTTGAGGTATCAGCCGTTTAGTTGTTAAGGACGCTTACTAGCTGTTGCCCGATTATTTACTGAAAATGCATATTATTTAGCACAGGTTCAGATAAGGTTAAAATTATGCTGAATCTCTAAGTGACTAAACTTACTTAAAACCAAATGCAGCCTCACTCATATAGTTGCGTTTTGTCTTAGTTAATGCAACTTTAGTAGTTTTAGTCAATAATTTGATTATTTTTGCCATTGACTAATTTTGACCTTACTCTGCTTTTCTATCCTATTGTCTGCTTCCTTTCTGTCATAGATTTTGCATTGCTTCTGTTATTAAAACATTGACCATGACACTGTGTGATTTCATTAGGAAATATTTATTCAGCAAGTGTACGTGCGTGTTCCCGGTAAATTAGTTCAAGTTTTGGTCACCTTTTATTGATACATTGGTAATTGGTAAATACAATTGATACATTGGTAATTTCATCCTTGCTGTTTGCTTCCAGTTTATCACCTATATGGCTACTGGGACGTTAGTTTGAATTGACTGCTTATTCAGAAAACTGCACTCTTTTTTTTTCTGCCATGAAATGTCGTGCAATTCTGAACTTTGGGTAGCTGAAGTGAGCCTAGCATACACGCACGACTAATCCTGCTAGCAGTAGTGTAATCCGTATGCTCAATCTGCTGATGTTTGCATGAACTGCATCTAGTGTCCAGCTGCATGTTTAAAGTGCTGCTGCATCTTTCCCATTCTAGGAAACCAGACGGTCACTGATGTAGGAGATGCATCCATTAAGAATGAGCCTCTCTGAGTTATTGACTGCTGTTTCCTTACCCTCACCAAGCTCAAGGAGGGGAGGAGAAGGGCAAAAGGGCCAGTGAGAAGGATGAATTGTATGCCAGTTCCAGAGTGCTGAGGTTTCTGGGAGGGAGGGAGGGCAGAGGAGTGACTTAGGAAACTATCTCTGATTTTTTTTCGTCTTTAAGAAAACCTAAGCTCATTCTATAGCCATTTGTTCCTGAATATTTGGCGTTAGAGGCCCAGAAACTCAGGTCTCTATGCTATGCTTTGACGTCTGGATATATTTCAAGAACTGTTTTGCAGCATAGATGCAAAAAAAAATCCATTTGAAGATAGACTTTTGATATAACTTTGTATTTTTCTGTCTATTAATAGTTGCTAAGAGGAAAACGTGGGTTTTGTGTTCCTTCTGCAGACTGTACAAGATGGCAGACAGTTTATGAAGTACATTGATCCGAATTTAGGGGTTCCCTTGCCAGAAAGAGACTATGGTGGCAACTGCCTTATCTATGATCCTGGCAATGAAACTGATCCGTTTCACAATATCTGGGTAAGGACCAAAATACAGTTGCTTGCTAAAGATTCTGAATGTTGTTTTTGGTAAAAGGTTGCTTAATTGAACTCTTTACAGTGCAGTCATGAGTCTGAGTGGTAAATTCAGACAACTGGTTATGACTATGCTTGCTGCTTCAGTATCAGGCTCTTTAGCTTCCTTAGTTCTCTTCTGTTTACCTTTTCTGTTGATCAGATGGAGATGTATCTCTTTCTATCCTAATTACATTGTCCAGAGGAGGGGGTAAATTGTTTAACTATCCTTGTTTCTCATATTATGGATGTAAACCATTTCCCCTAAGAGTTTGGATTTATTTACGAGCTTAGGGAATTTTCCGCTTGCGGTTGTGTAGAGGCACAAAGTCCGAATGGTGGTTGCACGTTGCCAAGCAACCCATAAATTGTACTTTCTTGAACTCTGGCTTGGAATATCACAAACTGTCAGAGTGTTGTTTTTAGCTGGCGAACAGAAGGCTTGAAATTGAAGGGCAAAGGAATTAGGATTACTTTCTTAAACTCCATAATTCCGTGGAGCTGTTAGTGCTTGTGTACTGAGGAGCGCTGAATCCTTTGGGACTGCCATCCAAGCCTGTAGTACCTCGGGAATAACTGAGAGCAATAATAGCTGTCCTCTTCTAGTGTTGAACCAACACTAGGAAGAGGAAAGGCACTCGTTGCTTATGCGTATTTGTTGGCAGAACGGATGAGGTTTAAGACGTTCTGCTAGATACGAGATGGTGGTATGATGGTGAAATACATGTTCTAGCCCTCTTATGTCTGGCTTGAACGTGTTCTGCTTCTGTCCCCTTGTTACCCTTAGAAGGCAACGTGACGTTAGAATTAAAAGGTAGTCTCTGCTTTATCAATACAATCCTAATTCCAATTTCTACCCCTTAAACTTTCTGACTTTACTTTAAAGATAGCTTGTGTGTTTACTGCATTTGAGAACAAAGAAACTGCTTAAATGCATCTGGTATTTTATTGCAAAATAACTTAAGCTTATTGCTTCATTTTTCCTGGAAAGCTCTAAGCCCCAGGAGTGGGTAATTGCTTATAGGGCACAGTGACCTACTTTCTTTCTCCTCTCGGTTTATAGGACAAACTGGATGGATTTGTTCCTGCTCACTTTTTTGGCTGGTACCTAAAAGTAAGGATTGGTCTTCTGTTACATTTGTGTTACTGTACTATTCTGCTTTTAAAGCCTGACTGCTGCTGTTTCAGTGATGCCAGTGTTCATGATCAATTACATTAGGCGTTCAGCTGTGAAGTAGACTAAGTGTTTGTATTACCTGAAAGGCTTTTTTTTTTTTCCTCTTTTTCCTGACGGTGCTAGGTCATCTCATTTCTTTCCTTAGTAACATTACATTGAGAGGCTCCCTCCTCCGCTGCAGTTCATTCTGAGGTCAGATCAATAAAAGTAAAAACTTACTTTAGTCGCAGCACAAATCCTCGAGTGACTTCTGAATATCAAGTGTGAGGAAGATAGTATTCAGTGTAGGCAGTGAAAGTTACTGTTAACAAATCACAGATGCACGACGATAGACTAGTATTATTCCAAGGCAGACTTCTCATCCTTTCCCAATGGCTTCCAGATCGGGACTCTAAATTATGGAAAGGGTAAAGTTTCAGTTCTTGTTACTTCCACAGTTGGTTGACGTTTACTAAAAAAGGAACTCCAGCTGTGCTTGTGTCTGGCAGGACACAGTCGGTACTTTTGCTGGTGAATACTTTGGTCTAAATATTGGCTGTTTTTTCTTTTTTTTTTTTTTTTTTTAGCTAGGCAAACTTACTGGCTAACTTTACTTGACCCTGCAGATCTTGTTTGTTCCTTACCTACAAGATCACAAGAAATAATAAACTGAAAAAAGCACAGGCTGCTTTAAAAATAAGCTATGGCTGTTGCTTTGTATCTTTCTTCAAAAGCATAGATTCATTGCTATATATATGTGTGTGTGTGTATATATTTGTAAGATGAGTATACTAGGCATGGGATGACTTCAGGCCAACTTGTGTATGGCTTGCTCTATTAGTATATGTTACTGTAAATTTGGAGAAAATTCTCTTGGATGAAGAAGATCCAAGTATGTTAGAAACCTAGGTATCGAAATAGGATTGCGGTTACATTCTCTATTTATTTTTAAAAATAATGTCGTACAGAGAACAAGTGTCTAAATTGTGAGAGCCTGGTAAAAAGACATAAGGGGAATAGTAACACATTCCTGAAGACCTAGAGTGAAGTAGAATTCAATAATCCAGTCTCTTCAAACAAGCTCTTATCTGTCTTGGCCTGGAGAAAGCCTAGGTTTTTTTATTGAAGTGACTTATGAGAATATTTTTCACAGAAACGCTTGAGATGATCTATCATCTTGTCGACATGCAGTCTGATTCGAAGAGCCCAGCACGCTCCGCAAGGCGTTGATTTCTGTGCTGCTAAGCTAGAAAGAAACTGTCTGCTAAATTTTTCATTTGTCAATTAACATATTTTTCTATAAAAGGCCAGAAATTGGGCATCTTGTCCTTGTAAACAGAGATGAGCATATTTCTTATTTGTTTCTAGTTTGAGTAACGAGCTCTTACACTGTGCCTCAAAGCATCACAACTGCAACATTGAAAATGAATGTGCTTCACTCATTGGAAATAATTGTGGGCCTCTTCCTTTGCTTTGGCATCATTTAGATCACACGTTGTCAGAATAACTATTTTCAAAACCCGTGTGATAAAGCACATCTTGTATTATCTTCTGACTGAGGAGGTCAACGCAAAATTACATCTTCCTTAATCAGTAATAGCACATTTGGGGTTACCACCTTCCCTGTTGGCACCCGGCTGAGGATTTGCATACACTGCTGAGTTCCCATACAGCAGTACAGCTGTACCCGCTGACTGTGCTCTTATCCACTTGCATATGAAGTAGAGTGTTACTATAAATCTCTTCTCATGTTTTGACAGTAGGCTAAGATGGTATGTAAGATTTAGGATTGCAGCTCAGCCGAGTCCTTAATCGGAATGTGGAAAGAGATATTCTTCTTTCTTATTCACCTAAACAAGGTGCCAGCTAGTATAAAGTAGACCCAGGTATTCTGGTGCAGTCAGGGATGAAGATTGCCACAGGTACCTTCTTTAAAGGTTGCATTAGGCAGGCTCTGGGAAGCCTTTTTTGAGCTGCACCAGAAAAATGCTGCCTGTGGGTGCTCAAGCACCCAGTAATTCCATTCACTTGGCCTATTTCCTCCTTACTGGATCCCGTATGCCTGCCTTTACTCTTCAGGTAATGATATCCATGGCATCATCTATGCTCTTTAGTATCTGTCTTACCTATTGTGCTGCGTATGTGCTAAGTTTAGAGACCTGGGACCATTTGCCTTTTCTGGACTGTTTCATTACAAAAACAAAATTGTCTTGAGTTTCCTGATCACTTTGGATACTGGAGACAAGACGTTCAGCTGTAGAAGTAACTGGTAACTCGTCAAGCCGTGTATGCCCATTGCGTTCAGAGTCCTGAAGCATTAAGCTCCTATTCCTCATGCAGTCGGTTTTCAAACTAGCAAATAGCATAGTAATTTGTCCCTACCATGCTGAGAAGCTGTAAATCTGGCCTGTGTCTTTACAGTATTGGTAGAGGTTTTCCTTTATTTTTCTAAAGGGACAGTAATACTCAGTCAAGTGTGCAACCATTCATTTTTGTAATGGTTTTAAATATGTTATGTAACTGTTGCAGATACTCGAAAGACTTTTTTCCCTTTATGTAGACATTAATGATTCGAGACTGGTGGATGTGTATGATCATCAGCGTAATGTTTGAATTTCTGGAATACAGTCTGGAACACCAGCTTCCAAACTTCAGTGAATGTTGGTGGGATCACGTATGTATTGCATAAGGCATTTATGTAAACTGAAGTACATGTTTTAGGGGGAACGGGAGCAGGAAATGGTGAAAACTAAATTATAGGATGTGCACGTGGCCAAAAATATATGTATGACCACAGCAGCTCAGGCATATTGGTGCCTCTCCACGTTGAGCTTGTACTACGTTTGTCATTGCGTGTGTATAATCTTGTGGTTTGTCAAACTTCTCTGTGGACTGGTAACTTTATTGCACACAGTTAAATATTTGTTTTGATTCTTTCCACACCAGAAGGAGAAGCTGAAGTGTTCAGCTTTACCCTGAACACTTGCCTATAATTGATGGTGATACAAACCATAAAATTTAAAGTTAAGAGAAATGGAAAATTTTGTGTATAAAGTTTCAGAAGGTTTTTTTTCTTCCCTGTAAAGAAAACAGGCTCTGCGCAATTTATGTTCAGCTTTTCCTTATATGTAAACCTACCTTCACTCTTTTCTGAAAATAGTAAATATTATTACTTTTAGAAGTTTTAGTGTGGTTTGTAAAAGCTGTTTGGAATGATAAACATTTGTGTAAGGAAAAGCTTGCATGGTCATTGCACTTGATACTCTGTAACCATTTGTATTTTAAAATACTGCTTGTATGTTTCTTGAGGCCGGAGGGATTACAGTGATCTAGGTGGGGAAAAGCAAGCTCTGTGGCTTACAATGACATGTTTTTTCCTATGTAATGTAAATTGGTTATTGGAGCGGTCAAAATTATCTGCATTCAGGGCACACAGCTCTGGTTCTGATGCTATTTCAGCTTTTTTTATTATTATTGTTCGTACAGTACAAGTTTTTTACCAAGCTTGTAATTCTTTGCCACGTGGTTGTATTTATAAAGGTAAGTGCATTTTTATCAAGAAAGGAGCAGAAGCAGGATTTGCTCCAGGAGCAAGTCTATTTTGCCTTCCAAAAAAAAAAAAAATCTCGTAATGAAATTAACACTCTGTGCTCTAGTTCTGTGAATGAGGTAGACAGCCAATTCTTTTCAGCTCACGAGCTCCATCTCCAGAATTAATGCTCAGCAGTGAGACAGAGTATGAGGTGAAATCACTTGTTTAATTTCACATCCTGAGCCTGGAGATAAATAGTTTAAGAGGCAGCCTGAAATTGAAAGAGCATATTAAGTTACTGAGCATGGTAAAATCCAGTCCATGGGAATATGTTAGGATTTATTGCTGTGCTTTTAAGGTTGACTCATCTAACTGAGTGGAGGTGAACTGATAGTAAGTAGTGAAGGTCTGTTCCGTAGCAGAATGAATATAGCAAAGGAGGATTTACAGCCATCATCTGTAGAACAGTTTTGCTTCATTTGAGTAGGCTTGGACAGTTGATTTTTTTCCAAACTGTTTATACAACAGTCTTCTGAGAATGCTCGCTTCTTGTCCCTGAGACTGTATTTGCAAATATGTGCACCTATAATAACTTCCCTTATAAAGTTTAGTTTTTGTTATCCAGCATCAGTTTTTCTTTTTTTTTTTTTCCTGTTCCTTTTCAGTGGATAATGGATGTGATCTTATGTAACGGATTAGGAATTTACTGTGGGATGAAGACTCTGTCTTGGCTCTCTTTGAAAACATACAAATGGCAAGGACTTTGGAACATTCCTACATACAAGTAAGCTGATGTAGGAATAACTCCACCGGCAGTAGCATAGCCCAGAGTTTGGGGCCTTGCTAAAGATTGTAGCTGTTGAGAGGTTATTCTGTTATGGTTGATGTGAATTATGGAATTCACCTGTGTTTAGATGACTGAAATATCCAATAACTTATTACTGCCTGGAAGCTTGTTTGTATGAATTTTATTTAATTTAGAAATGAAATTGTTGAAAAAATACCCTTCTATTATCAGCATTATCTGATGTCTAGGAATGAGGGCATCTTGTGGATATGAGATTATTGTTAATGCAGGTGCATGAACACAAGACTCCTTCATTCACAGCAAGGATGTTTTCAGTCCTTTTTGCAAGTAATCAGTCCACCAGTAATCAGAACTTCAATGTAATTGGGAGAATGAAACACAAATTTGAATAAATCCTTTATAGTCTTCTACCAGTAATGAAATGGCCTTTTTTGCAGCTTGTCCTCGCTTAGCAAAGCGGAATTGAGGAACTGCTTACTACAACGAGTCTAATATCTAAAGTTTAAAATGATGGTTCAAATATAGCTGGCTGCCTAAGAGTGCTCACTCAAAATGGCTCTCGTTAAGTAGTGTTTTTGGGGTTTTTTGTATGGAATAAATGGAGGCATTTTGCCAAATAGATTGGTGCCTGAAATGAAATGTTAGTAGATGTCTCTTATAGCTGCTGTTTCTTAAAGTTGTAAGAACGTGTTCTGGTTCTCTTCCAGAGGTAAAATGAAGAGGATTGTCTTCCAGTTCACTCCGTATAGCTGGGTCAAATTTGAGTGGAAGCCAGCGTCCAGCTTACGCAGATGGCTAGCAGTTTGTGGCATAATCTTTGTAGTAAGGAAACTTCTCCCTCTTTATTGATTGGTTGGTTTAACATTTTGTAACGCTTGAGTAAATATGCAAATGGTAACTTAGGCAAAAACTGTGGCCTGGTGATGTTTTTTCACTTGGGGCTGGAAGAGGTCACTTCCATGTCCTACTGAAAAGGTGTCTATTTTCTTGTCTCTGGTACAGTTTACAGATTCATTGCCTAAATATTTGTTCTTGCTTGTTGAACAATTGGAAGATTGACAATGCAAGCACTTCCAGATATGATCTACTCATAATTCAGAAAGTAACTGTTGCTACAAAAAATGTTGGCCTTGGGTTTGAAAGGGATTGGTTTCTTTCCAGCCCTAAGCAGATAAATATCACGTTACAGTTGGAGAGGATTCTAACCAAAGCCTCAGGCTGCCGCGTGTTAGCTCTAGACAGCATGGTTCCTAGAGGACACAGTTTTACCTTGAGTAATATTTTAATACAGACTTAAATTGCTCCGTTATCCTAGATGGGCTTTTGGGGCTTTTGGTTTTGTATGTTACACTGGACATGTAGTGTGTGACTGGAGTGCTAACAGCATCCAGCTTGACCGGTTCAGGTAAGCTAGCTGCCCCCGTTTAAACAAAAGAAAAGGTGAGTTTCTCCAGTAATCACAACAAATTGACAGTCTACCTGGTTAATTTAGCCAGCTAAGTGGCTAAATCTGTGTTAAGGGAACGCATCATCTTAAATGCATAACTTGCATTTCAGTCTGTTGCAAGTATCATATGTGACACTGATATGGAGGATGAACTTGGTGTTTAAGCTCTTTTTCTTAGCTACTTGCCTGCCTGGCATTTGACAGTTAGGGGACTTTGGCCTTCATAGTATCTGTTGGATGTCACTTGGCTCTGTTTTGAGCAACCTGAACTTATTTTAATTGGGCAACTTTGAAATTTGACTAAAAAGCATTTTGATGCGTTCATTGTTTACAAAGAAAACGGGCATTAGCCAGTTTCAGTGTTATTGGTATGGTACAGGGTATAACAGATCTGTGCATTTTGTAGCCGTTGCTAGAACAGTACACTTAATCAACTTGAAATATGTGGAATATGAAATCTGGTGGTGGTTTGTTTTGGGGTCTGTCCAGTGAAGCAGCTCCCTATTACAGTTGGCTGAGTAGGACACATTAGTCAGCTTGGCAAACCATCACCTCTTCTCTCTCATAATAACATGGCTTTTTACGCTGATATCAAATAGCAGACCTGAATGTGCTTGAAGAACGATGTCTGTAACTAACTAAGCGACTTGTGCAGCGCCAGCGACCAGTGCCAGGCAGCTTGCAAATGCAGTCAATTAAGTATGAGTTCAAATCACCTGATATCCGTTACGTAGAACTTTTGCCAAGTTCACGTAGCAGAAGAGACTTGCTGAGGTTTCCATAGTTTATGGGAGGAGTAAAGTAAATGTACCAGTATAAAAAAAAAAACATGTTTATCTGAATGGTTACTTTGCATACTTTAAATTCAGCTTATTGCTCCCTGAAGGACACTAGTTTTTAGCTGCTGGAGCAGATCCCGAAACGTAAAGGTTCCACTGAATTTATATTCGTGTTGGGAAATTATAGTCTGTCTTTTAGGAAAACTCAGCTTGTAGCTGACTTCCAGTTTATAAGCATCACTCTTCTGAATTAACCAGATTAAACGTTCTGATGCCTTTCGTTACCATTCCTTGTGAAGCAAGAAATTTGTGTCTACCTGCTCACTTAATCACATTGCCAGGACTGCTCCCTCTGAGAACATTTTGCTGTAAATACATAGTCAATGCTCCAAAGCTGGCCTTTGCGGTGATGTCATGTCTGCATAACTGTGTAAAAAGGGGGGAGGGGGGAAGGTTGCATTGCTTATGCCTCTTGTTATTTTGGGTTCCATCAATCAGATTTTAAATGACAGTGAAAGGACAAGTTGTTATTCTAAGGGTTGGTTATCAGTAGTTCTGGAGCTACTTCAAACTCCCCATAAACTTGCTGGAAACTAGAGGTAGTGCTAGGTCATATGCGTCATGTGCTATGCACAAGCATTTACTTTTTTTTCACTTGTGTTTATTGCTTTCAGACATCTTCCAAAACATGCAAAAATAAAAAAAAATTATTCTTTCTCATTATTGCTGATGGTGGGCTCACTGCTACTGAGTAGGATGTTGTGGAGAAAATGAAATGGTGGTGGTGGGGGGGGGGGGGGTTATGCAGAGAGAGAGGGAGATTCCAGGCTTCATTCAGTGAAGTCCTCTGAGTTTAATTAAAATGTCCTTTTTCTCAGTTTTTATTGGCAGAGCTGAACACATTTTACTTGAAGTTTGTCCTTTGGATGCCACCAGAACACTACTTGGTCCTGTTGCGACTTGTCTTTTTTGTCAATGTGGGAGGTGTGGCTATGAGGGAGATCTACGACTTCATGGATGACCCGTAAGCCAGTCCTCTTGTGTATATACCATATCAAGCTTCACTTGCTTTATTTTGAATTTGCTCCAGTTTGCTCTAGCTTGTTGGCATCCATCTCAGAGCAATAGTTCAGCTTGCTGGGGACAAAAAAGACCTAACCCCAGAGCACCTGCTTTGTTTTCTTTTGTTTTGGAGGTAAAATTCTGACTACATCTGGTTAGAGAACAGGTGTTGTTGAGGGCATTCTAGGTGCACTGTTTTTAACCTCAGTTTGTCGTAAGTAAAATGATCACTCTGAGAATGTAATGTGTAAATTAGCTGGAGTGCTATTGGCTTGTGGGCAGAGGAGTACTGAACTCCACTTTCAGAATGATAGCCAGGAGCTACTGTCCTTAGATGTACCTTCTAAGGACAACAGGGCCCGAGCTAAATATCTTATCTTAAAGGCGCTTCTTCTTGAGCGGTCTTCCAACTGGTCTCAGGTCCTCTGGAGCTCCCGTGGCACCCTCTTGCAGCTCAGAGGACCTTTTAGCAAAGCGCATTGAAGGCAAAGTGCACCCACACGCAACAGTGCATGTACTTTCAGACTGTTCCGACTTAAGCGTCATATTTGTCCTTGCTGCTTTTGTTTCTGCAGACCATGTAAGACCTGAGAATGCTTTGTTCTCAAAATCACGTTTTCTTTTAAGTTTTAGTAGTAACGTCACAAATTGCCTGAACCCGCATCTTAAGTCTAAGGCAACGTCTGGCTTCAAGGGTTGTTCATTGTCTGTCGCTGACCAACGCAAAAAGTGTCTGTGTTCAGAATTTAGGGTTCCAACATTCTCTGAAGATCAGTTTCCCTTGCAAGGCTTTGACTCCTAGAACTGGGAAGAAGGGTCAACCCACATTGCTTAGTCGGATTTCAGGACATTCAGCAGTGGCAGGCTGCCCCCTGCCTTTGACCTACTGTCGGACCTACTGGTTTGGGACGTGCCTCCAACTCAAAGGTAAGAAGAGGTCTCTACCTCTCACTGGTGAGCTCCTCTCCTTAGCACCACTCCCCATCTTCCGGTCCTTGTGTTTGGGTTGGAAAAACAACTCCTTTGCCCTCTGTTCAACCACGTGGCATAACACTAAGATTTAGGAGAATCATCGCCAGTGCCTCCTTGCTGACTCAGTTTGCCGTTCTTTCAATGAGCTGGAGAAATTCATCCAGCAAGCAGAAAAATCTCATCCTGAGCTGCATGTCTTCGTCATTGCCACCACCACCTAACCTACCCTCCTGTCGTCTTGGTAGGCAAGGTGACCGACTATCCCTCTCCTTTCTGAGGTCTGCTTGATGTGCCACAGACCTCACCTCATCAGGCTCTTCTTAAAAAATGGCAGAACCTAGCATCTGATCTCATCTAATATCTGCTCTGCAAAGGCTTTTGCAGCTGAACTTTGATTCCTTCATGCCTTTCATGTCATCTAAGCAGAGATAATCTGCCCCTGTTTTACCAACTTAACTGAACGCGGTTTCACTTGCACGTCGTTTTGAGCCAAGGAACTGTGATGGATCTTTCCTGTTGTGTTGTAGGGAGAAGTTGCTGTGGAGAAGCCAGCTGTACTGGAGGCTCCCAGCCAACAGCACACAAGAAACCTTTCTGACCTTTTCCTTTTGGAAACTCGCTCAACTTCTTAATGGACGAAGGTTGGAATGTTCCACTGACCTTCTGTGTCAGAATCATGGCACACTGCCTTGTCCATTAGCGACTGGATTGCCTGAGGTAGAGAAACTCATTACATATCTTCCGCTAACCTTGCAATATTTACTATGGAAAGTAATGAAGCTCAAATACAAAGACTTTTTTTTTTTTCCTTTTCTCATTCAGGGTTCTTAATGTCTACAGACAGTTCTAGGACTGCACTTGCAGGAACTTTGTCTGAGCAAGGTGACAGCAAAGTGTCTAGAACTGAAATCCAGCAAGGGAGGGGTGGTTCTTGAAGGTGCTGTCCAACTCATAAACCACATCTCCTATTGTAATTAACATCCTGCCTCAGGGTTCTTGAAGACTGGATACATGAAACGTTCTCTACCAGAAAAATCTCACTGTAAGAGAGTCTGCAGCATCTGCAGTTGATCTCTCCATGTCTTTCTGACTTCTAGCGTTCAGGTTTCTTCCAAGGAGCCTGCATTAAGGCCATGAATTTTAAACTCGAGCTTCAAATAGAAAATGACTTCTCTTTAAAATCGTTCATGAGTAGAAGGGCAGGAAACCAACTTTTTTCCGTGGCAACCTCAGGGTCTGCACAGTTCTTCTATTAGATTCTTTTGTTGCTATCTTCTCATAAGATAGTGAGAGAAAATGAAGGCAAATGAAGGAGATCAGCAAAGCGGATAGCTGACCTAGTCATCTGAACAGCTTGAGTTCATAGTGAGGGATTTGCTGGTTTTTTGTTTCTCTCCATCCATCTGTTAAAGCTAGTTTTTGCCCATTTTAATCTGTCATACCAGATAACCCACCTGAAACAGTTTTTGAAGTCCTTTCATCTGAGCAGGTCTAGATAGGATTTTTTTTTTTATTTTTTAGTGGAATGTACACGTCCCATCTGTGTCAGCAGTAATGCGCATTTGGCTTACTGCATCGTTTTTTTTCCCCAGTGTATCTGGACAATTGTGTGTAGTTTGAACTTACGCATTGGTGTCACATGTGGCTCTTGGCCTCGTATTAAAGAAACGCGTGTTGTGTGTTTGACTTACTGTGACTCTCCAGGACTAAAGTATTTGATCTCTGTTTGCTGGAGGCTGTAGGGAGCTTTTACCTCCCTAATGACTTCTGCTTCAAGAGTAGTTCTACTGTAATCTGGGAGCACTGAGGGACCGCTGTCCATTCCCTGCTATTCCTGCTTGCAGCTTTCCTATTAGTTATCTGCAGGAAAGGGAAGAGAAGCTCTGTTTGCTCTCTGTGCTCTGATCCATTTCCAGACACTGAGAATCCAAGGGAATTTGGTAGAGTAGATACACCTGAGCCACAAGGAAACACCCGCTGAAGGAAGGATGCTTTCCCCTGTGCAGCTGCTGGCATCAGATGAGTAGAGGGGAAGAGAAACCGGGAGAAAATGTTCAGTCACGGCTACCTTTGCCCCAGCACTCTTAGAGGTTCCTGGGGCCTAATTTTAACTTATGCAAACTGGGCAGTATACCAGCTGGAGGTGACGGTGTAGGGCGGGCTCGCTTTTCTGTCCAGCGGAGGGAAGCATTACCTGAGCAACCACTCTCTGAGGAAATCCCAATCAGAGATTTGTTAGGTGACTTCTCTTTTTTTTTTTCTTATTGCATGGCAAAATCAGCTAGAGAAATACAGCCCAAAGGGATTACACAGCCACTGAACATAAGGGCATTTATTAAGCCACATTGTTAGCCAGACACGAGGCTATAGATCACAGCAGTCATAGGCCAGACTAGGAACTTCCCATCACTGCTGTGCCCTTAGTAGTACTACAGAGGGCATCTTAATGCGCTCATCCCTCTCTCCCCAGCCTGCTGTAGGTTTCTGTTACATTGCTTTGCTCCTGCCCCGGGAGTTCTGCCGCTTCCTTGATGTGTTTCACTCTGTGTCTTGTGCTGCAGGGGGAGTGGAGTAACATAGCAAGCTGGACAAAGGAGAAAGGACCTGGTAGGAGAATATGCTTTAGAATACGCCTCTGTAAGCAAGGGGTCAAGGCCCTCCGCAGAACAGATGCTCCCTGTGAAGAAAGATAATAGCTGCTTTGATAAAAGCAAAGACACATAAAACAAAGATAGAAGAAATAACGCAAGGCAAAATAAGTAGCTGCCCTTAAGATTAGTTGGTGGTGCTTCTAGTTGGATAGTTTTATTTCAGGAGGCTCCTTCAGAGAAGTAATAACACTCTGTAGGTTAGGAGCTAATTATAGAGCTCCCAGGAAGGTGGGATGGGAGAAATGAAGAGCACTGAAATGCTTCTTTGTGGCTTTTTAAGTAAAAGATAGTGTCCAAAGGCTGTTAAGAAAAATGTCTGTGCTTGCAGGTAAGAGTTGGTGGTGAAGGTATTACTTCTCTAAAGCAAGAACTCGGTCTTCCTTGATTGAAATGAGTTGGATTTCAGGAAATGTAGTTAAATCATGCTTTAACAAAAAAAAAAAAAAAAAGCCAGCTTCTAGTATATTTCTCTTGGCTCTTTCTACTAATGGGAATAAAATCCCATTTTAGATTCCACAGATTGGTGACGGAAGAAGAAAAGTTTAGTCTACCAAATGGGAAACGGTCTACTTGACTCTTGACTGGTAGACGGTACACCCATATGCACCAGTGGTGCTACGGTGAGCGGGTTTTCTGGTGCAACACAATGCATCAAGAAGGTTTTGTGTTGTCCAAATAGAACCGCATTTGATAACTGACATATATAAATCACCTACTGTCAGGTCAGTAAGCTGTGAAAAGTGTTGAGTAGTGACATGAACAGACAAGACTATGAAGTAGAGAACCTAGCTGGTTTAGATGAAGCATTTTACCCAAGTTTCTAGCAATGAACTATTGACCCTGCGAGTGATGAGATTTCTTGAAAGGCAGCCTATAAGGTTTTTTTTTTTTATATATAGCGCTCTCCCATAGGTAACATAAGACAGTAAGTCTCTGATCTCTCCTTCTGTAAGTAGATCTTCTGAGTAGACTTCTTTTGTATTGCAGTTTAATCTGCCGTTTAATTTCTGGCATTACTGTTTGGTGAGCACTGCACTCGAGTTGTACAGAACAGTGTAGCTTCTCATTTGTTTGTCTAGTAGTGCTTAAAAATAAGCTTTGTGATTATATATTGAGCATACTTTTGCCCCGAGGTAACGTTGTCCTAGAAGTGAGATACCTTCCTTGCGTCCTCCAGTATCTTATCTGTTTGTTATTTAAGCATTATCCTTTTAAAATCCCTTTGGAGATCATTAATGACAACTCATTGAGCAGCTTTTTTGGAAGTGAGTATGTTTCAGAATGTAGTTATATAAGCATTAAATACAGTTATAGCTATGTGACTTGGTGTTTGCAGCAGAAATCTGGTATAGCTCATGTCCTGTACCTTACCTCAAGCCTCGCCTGATCTCAAGCTGGTCAGACAATTGTTTTATGTGGATTTACCGTTCCACTGAAAACAGGGGTACTTAGTTACGTTACATGGTGATAAAGTTTAATTTTTGAAGTGTTTTCAGAGCCTCTGAGGGGAGACAAAGTAATACCGGCATGAAAGTCCTCAGCCTGCACAGGCTTAGGACATGAGTAATCCAAACTAGACTTTTAGTATTGTGCCAAGCTGAATGAAATTATTATCCCGTCTTTTAATGAATGAGTATTTCTTTGAATGCTTGCTGTTGTAGTTACAGTCTCATTTTATCTATATATTTATTTTGCAGGAAGTTCCATAAGAAACTGGGTCAGCAGGCTTGGCTGGTTGCTGCTATTACTGCCACAGAGTTTCTGATCGTCGTGAAGTACGATCCCTATACTCTTACGCTTTCTCTTCCTTTCTACATTACGCAGTGCTGGATCTTGGGGATCATACTTGTGCTCACCTGGACAGCCTGGCGTTTCTTCATTCGGTAAGAAGTGTTTGAGGCACTGTGGTGTGCTACATTCAGGTTTTGCTTGGGTTTCGTGGAGGGAGTATTCTGGACATCCATCAAGCAGCGTGTCTTCAAACATAGGCTCTCATGATCGTTCAGTGCCTCCGAAGGTAGATGACAACTCTCTGTACTTTTGGATAGCTAGAGCTACAGTGTTTTTGTCTAAGAAGTATTAAATAGGCAGGGAGTTTTCCTTATGTGAGCCTGGCAGTTTTCTTGCAGTCTTTCTGGATCAAACCTGTGGGTCTTTGTGGGACTGCTTATGTTATTGCTGCTGTAGAAGCAGGGGAACAGTTGAAAGTGCCTGACTGCGTCTGGCTTTCTGGGATCAACGAAGATGGCAGCCAAGATCATCGTTTTGTTTTCCTTGTACTGCGGTTCAGACAAAATTAAGATGCTTCACAGCTTCATTGCAAGAACATTTTGCTGTGTTGCGATTGTCCAAGCTCTCCTAGTGTCAATGGCAAGTGAGCCAAGTTAAACAAATTTGATTTGGATGCTGCTCTAGCATGTGCTATCCGTACAAGTAAATGAGAAGCAATAGCACGTGGCTGGAAAAATTAAGAGTAATCTATGGAGCAGGCCCCATACAATGGCAGGGGCTGCTCTTGTTGAGCATGCTTCTGAAATGTGTTATGCCTCTGAAAGTGGTGACAATAACCAGAGTACTAGCAAGAAATGCAAATTTCAAGTGCATCTATGCCGTTAGCCATTTTAGGAAATTAGAGCTGGAAGACTCAAATGGATTAAATTATCCAAAGGCCACGTACATCCAGAACAGGTTTTCCATGTTATTTTTATTGGATATTTACATTAGATTGCTTATTCACATCACTAGTGTAAATCTGTTTGTGTTTTTATTTTTAGTGACATCACCTTGCGTTATAAGGAGATAAGACGACAGAAGCAAGAGCACAAATATGACAGGGACAAATGCTTGAGCAATGGTGATGGACATTCTTCGATGCTGGATGAACAAAATGGGAACAAACTAAGGGAAAGGAAACTTTGAGCAACAGTCAAAGGGCTAAAAGGGACTCGTAGTGCTCAAGTTAGCCTGGTGGACAGTTTCAACCTTATTCTACCTAATTTGTAATTTTCATTGTTAGTTTTCCAACATATGAAAATCCTCTTGGGAAAAAGATGCCCCTTTGACGTACGCACCCTTTCTCCTCATGTACACCTAGTCAGAGTTGGAGAAAGTCTGTGTAGAGGGAAGTCAGAACCAACACCGTTGCAACAAGAAGGAGTCTTCATTCAAGCATGTTATATGTCTTCCTTGCAAAACAAGGTTTGGAGAAAAAGGGGCTTTAAAACAAAGTGCAAAGGGAATCTTGTTGATCTGTTTCCAGTAAACTGAGATTTCAATTTTGACATTTGGGCATTAGGAATACTTGTTTTGGAGAATACAGACATGCGTCACAGGAAATGAATTTTGTATTTCTGCTGAAACTACCTTGAGCTGTGGAGTAGTATTATGTAATATTGTCAGCCGCCAATTAACAGAGCTGCAGTGAGATAAACAAAGATATGTGACTGAAGCTGGTGAACAAGTTGCATAACTTGCACAGAATATAATACAGTACACTACTGTTACAGCCCCTGTAATGCTGGGGTTATTGCCTTTCTCTAATCTGACTTTTGACATCCTAGAATAGCCTATGATAGTTTTATGTTATATCAAAGCCCTTGGGAGGCAGAAGATTTCTCCTTAGCTCTTTTTATCATTATTATTGGTCATCTCTCAAATGTAAGGGAAAGTTAAACAAGAAAGCTCAATCTGCCTTTCATTAGCTTCATGGAGTAAAATATGTTACAAGCAGAAAACTAGGAGTTAACTCCATCAGTCTTAAGTTATTTGCCTTATTCTCAACTATTTTGTTTTGCTTATCAAGAGGTTTTCGTTCTTGGTGTCTGCTGTATGAGGCATGTGAGGTTCCTCCAGCCTTCAGAACTGCTCCATTCCTCTCAAAGGTAACTCGAGACTCGGCAGCCTCCTGAGGCAAACTGGAAAAAGGCGTTTTGTGCAGTCACGCACAAAATAGCCATTAACGCGCTGCCATCGCTGCCAAAAGAACAAACGAAGGGAAAGTGCATAGTTCTTTCCCAAGTAATGTGCCGCAGTGGAGAGTCTGCAGGCCAGGCTAGACAGCATTTTTGCTGGTGACTCAGCACCTAGGAAAAGAAATTAGAAACCTGGGCTTCATTTTTTGGGTCCTTATTCCAAAATGTAAGTGCTACACTAAGCCTCAGTTTAGGGGAGGCATCAACTACCCCTGCTCTAGGCCTTTGCATTGGCCTCTAAGACACTGACAGAACTGTAAGCATATCACTATTAAAAATACAGTATTCTAACCTGGCTATTAAATGATACGTTATGCTATTTTTCAGGGAAGGGTTTATTCAGAAAAAAAAAAAGATATAAACACCACCAGTAAAAAGTAAAATTTCAAGAGCTTGACCTTAAACCTTTTAAGTGGCAGGAGACTTGCAGAGCTGCTGCCTTTAGCAAACATCCATTTCTGACCTGTTTTGGTCTTCTACTTGAATGACAACCAAAATCTGCATTTCTGCCGTGTTTACAGAGTGACCCAAATACTTTCTACCCCTAAACAATGGGCACTTAGCACTAGGGCAGGCTTTAATCGATGGAGCAGTTCAATTGCATCTAAAGAGCTCAGCAAGTGAAGCAAAGTTTGTGGGCTGAGGAGGCTGCTCCTGTTGCTTAATAGATCGAGAGGAGGGTGACCAATATGAGAGGTAGCATCAGGCTTCTTTCTTGAGTATGTACAATGTACTGTGGATAGTCACACAACGGCTGCTCTTAAACCATAGTATTTTGCTGCTGTAAGGTAGTGAAAAATGTAGGGCTGTGTAACTAGATGCTGACAAGTTTGAAAATGGGCAGACAGTGCTGAGTTGAGCGAGTATTTATTTCTATGCCTTTCCACCCAGAGTCGTTCTAGTTCCAGCTTTACACCAGTCTTATGAACTGTTAACTGATTGTCTGGTAGCTAGTACCAGTGTATTGTGCTTGTATAGTCCAGTTGAGCAAGGCTCAGGTCAATGTATTTCCATTCTGTCTGTGCTGATTAATACTGTGGGTCCCCTTTCTGACCTCTTTGAAGTACAACCTTCTGGGTCGGTTTCATGATTCAGGCGGTACCAGGCACACTCGGGGAGGATTTGTCGTTGTACCCCCACCCCCCAGACCCACTTGTGTGCATTTGAGGCAACCGAAGAATACCTGCTCCCTAATAACAAGTCTAGAATTTTGACCTACTACATGAACACTAACTTATGTTTGTCTACGTTCATCTAAACAGCTTTTATGGTTAGTCTGGACAACTGAACCAATGTAATAAAGCAACGTTTGCTGGTGTGTTCTTTGGTACAATGTGTGCATGCGTGAGGCTTTGTCCTACTCGTTGCCTTGCAAGTGCAGTTGTGGGGCTAGTGGAACTTATTCTGAATTCCCCTCGGTACAGAGACTATCGAATACGTTGGCGCTGCCTGTAACGGATGCTGGGCCTTAAGGTAGTGAAGCTGTCCAGATTTTCAATCAAACGGATGTTACAGCCCCTTGGTCCTTCCTGAGTCTGTTGCGGTTATTCAGAAACATCTCTTGAAGTGGATTTGCAAGAGGGATCGGTGCACCGTAAAACAGAATTGGGCTATGCACAGCAGGTTGAACAACTCTGTTCTCAGTGTTTCCTTTCCAGACGAATTGACCCTGCTTGCGCAGGGGGGTTGGACTACATGATCTCCAGAGGTCCCTTCCAACCTCAACTGTTCTGTGATTCTGTGAATGTCTAGCATTGCAGGTGGGCTCTGATCACTGAAATCCTACCTGTTTTTAGGAACTCCTTGGTAATCATCCCTATCTGAAGAGTACTTGAAAGGAACTGTGTATGGAGAAGATGAAAGGAGAGCTGATAAACCTTACTCAAATAACATTTGGAGTGGCTTAAAACGCGACCATACCTGTGGAGATGAAAGATGCAGCTGTCTCCCACTTCTGTACACATCCATATCTTAGTTGACATTTTCTTAGGTCATCTAGTTCAGTTTTCTCAGAAGAAAGGTATTTTCCTTGTCTGGTTACGTGCCCTGACGTTTGTAGTGAGATTTATCAAAGGTAAGTTGTTAGCTTTAAAAGGGGAGAATGCAGGGCTCAGGGAGAGTTGGCTCAGCACGGTGGGGTGGGTGAAAGCATGCTCAGCTAATGTATTTGTACGTGTGACTTTTTTTTCTTGCCGGTGGTTTCTCTTTGTTTTGGAGGCAAGCTGGGAGGTGATTTGACACTACTTTGAGATGCACGCTTTTGGGTGTCCCTCAAGCCCGCTTGTGTGGACTATTATATTTGTTGCAATAGGGTTTTAGGCTGTTGTTTTGAGGTGGTGAACAAGTACCCAGACAAATGTCCCTGAAGACACCTGCTGACATCTTCATTTCTGGCTGTACCCGCTTCTACAGGATGCAGTAATGCTCCACAGCTCTTAAAAGCCTGTTAGTCACTCCTCCTTGCTGTCCCCTCTCCTTGGTGCTTTTCCAAAGCTCCAGCCATTGATGTAAAGGTGGGTATTTGCTGTGGTTGAAAGCTATTCTGGGTAACCTTGCATTGTAAGTTAGTTTTGCCAGTGGAATCGATCCTACTTTTTGGAGCCTTGGTGAACTTCCCCGTCTTTATCTGCGCTGTCGGAAGGGCCCTCGGCCTTCAATTTCCGGCACGCCACTGGTCTTCTCTGACAGCTGCTGTTTCCCTCAGCAAACTTTTGGTGGAAAGCTCTGCAAATCAGCACAAATCTCATTGTTATGGTGTGGCTTGTACAACAGCTGTAGACCATCTACTGTGGCCTTGTTTGGGAATTGCTGCTTTAGTTGAATGCAGCTGTTGGGTTTGATAGAGGAGCTGCCCATGACTCCGCAGCATGTTGCACAAAGGAGATACTGATGTAGTGTTAAAT